AAAAAAAAAAAAAAAAAAAAAAAAAATCCGGGACTCGAAGTTAAATTTCACAGAGAAATACTTTTTTGATTAAGCACATTTATTAGATTTTATAATGTTAAATAACAGGTCTTATTATATTTTTTGAAACAGGATTAGAAAACACTCTTCTTGAAAATAGTCAAGTCTTGACTGAAACAAATTAAAAATGTTAGAACCACTGACAAGCCAAACAGCTAATTAGCTTACTATATATTATTTACATTAGTTTACTTTAATGTATTTTTAATATAGATGATGTTATTTTTATTAGTATATTTTCATTATACTTACCAGAAAACTTGATCTCAGTAGAGTTAAACATAGTTTTCCTAAATATCAAAGGTCCTGATTTCTAAAATAAAAAATATAGAAAAACCCTGTTAATTTCTTTTCTGTTTAAAAGCAGTTTTACTCTACAAAATATAGAGCTCTAATTCATGCACTCCTGTCCAAGCACAGCTAGTGTCTTTTAAAATGTAAATCTGACCACACACTCACTTGCTTACAGTATTGTCCAGCATGTCTACAGTAGCAAGTGAGAACCAGGTGGCCCTGCCTGGAGATCTCAGCTGGGGCCGTAGGCACACAGGAGGGAAGGGCTGCAGCCAGTGCAGCTACATCTGTTCAGATGTGGCAGGAACAACTGTGTTTACATGTTGTCCTCTTAGTATCAAAATGAATGTATTTTTGATATATAACTCTTCCTCTCAAAACGTTAGGGCTTACCACTGTAATCATGACACACCAAAATGCCTAGGGACCCTGCACAATCAAGGCCTGCTCATCTCTATGTTAACATAATTTCAGTCCCCAAATGCATGATACTCCTTCCTACCCCAGGGCCTTAGGAGTCAACCTGAACTTAATTAAAAATTGTTTTTTTGGGCCAGGGATTTAGCTCAGTGGTTCTGCCACGTACCTCGCAAGCACAAAGACCTGAGTTCGATCCCTGGTACCAAAAATAAATAAATAAATACATACATACATACATAAATAAAATTTTTCATGCTTTCTCTTCATCTGGTTAGCTCCTTACTCTTCAAAGCCCAGCTTAAAAGGTCGTCATGGCCTTGGTTTGACCCCCAAGGTCCCACATCTCCTTCATATAGTCTCTAGCACTCATTTTGCTACATATCTCTTACCACAGTTAAAATCAAACAGTCCTTCTCAAGAATAAGTCATGTGAGAAGAGACTGTGACATAAACAAGTAGACAGAATAACATAGCAATAAAACCCCAGCCAAGATCACTCCTGAGAGACCCAGCTCCATGTATCCAACTGCCTAAGACCTGTCCATTAGGATGTCCAACAGGCTCTCCACACCACCCTGCTTGAGACACATTTCTCTCTGCTCCAAGCCAACTTGTCCTATGCTGTCTACTTTGAAGGTGAAGCCATCCAGTCACCCAAGTCATAGGTCCTTCACCCCCACCGCTCAATCCCCAACACATGCCTACTTTATCTCACATCCCCCTTCCAAATTTAGTTCTTTTTCTCCATTCCTGCCACCAGCAACTTCAGACCCTCAATATTCCTCCTTAGACTTTTTTTTTTTTTTGACACAGGGTCTCACTATGTAGTTGAGACTGACCTGGAATTCACTGTGTAGCCCAGGCTGGTCTCAAACTCACAGCGATCCTCCTACCTCAGCCTCCCGAGTGCTGGGATTACTGGCGTGAGCCACCACACCCGGCTAGACTTTTTTTAATTCATTAAGTTTATCGGTACATTTTTAGGTATACAATCTGATAACATTCATCATTGGGAATTTATACCTGTACATGATATCTTGCCTGGTTCATACTTTTTCCCCATTCCCCTGCTGTCTCTTCAACCCCTTTGCCCCATCCTATTTACAAAGACTTGGTTTCCCTTTCTTCCTTTTCTATTTTTCCTTTTCCCCTACCCTTCCCACCTTAGCCTTCTCTTTCTCTTTTGGACATTTTCTTCCTATTTCACATTATCTATCATACATTTTGGTTCTCATTTATACTTTTCAGTTTCTCACAAAAGAGAAACTATTCGGTATTTACATGTGTGTCCTATTTATTTCACGTAAGAGTATGGCCTCAATGTGCATCTATTTAGCTATAAATGTTCCTAATTTCTCATTCTTTATGCTGAGTAGTACTTCGTTTTATTTTTTTAAACACACACACACACACACACACACACACACACACACCCTTTCTTTATCCAGTCACCAGTTTGATGGGCATTTTGGGCTGTTTCCAAGATTTAGCTATTACAAAAGGTGCTGCTATAAACATAGGTGTGCATGTATCACTGTGGTGTGAATGTTTTAAATCTTTTGGGAAGATACCCAGCAGGGCAGCTGGGTCAAATGGGACCTCCAATCCCACTTTTCTCCACACTGATTTCCATAGTGGCTGCACCAGTCTACACTCACACCAACAGTGGAGCAGGTATTCTTTTTCCCCACAACACCGCCAGCAGGAGTTATTTGTTGATTTATTGACAGCAGCTGTACTTTCTGTAGTGAGGTAGAATCTCAGTGTTGTTTTCATTTGCATCTCTCAGCAGTGATGTTGAACATTTTTTCATATGTTTATTTGCTATTTCTACTTCATTTCTACTGAAATGTCTGTTTCCTTCAGATGTCTATTTTTGGATTGGGTCTTTCAATTTGGGAGGTATGAGTAGACCTTTGTCTGAGGAACAGCTGGTAAAAATTTTTCCCGAGTTATCTCTTTATTCTGTTGATGGTTTCTCTTGTAGTGCAGCTTTTTAATAAGAGATCCCACTTATTTGCTGTGCTAGTTCCCATGCAAATGAGGTTTTGTTCATAAAGTCTTTTCCTACACCAATGCCTTCAAGAGTTCTACCTAACCTCTCTTCCAGCGGATTTAGTGTTTCTGTTTTAATATTGCGATCTTTGATCAATTTCAACTTTACTTTAGGGCGTGGTGAGAGATATAGGTCTAGTTTTCATTTTTGGCAAGTTGAAACCCAATTTTTCCAGCACTATTTATTTATTTTTCGTACCAGGGATCTAACTCGGGACCCTGTGCTTATGAGGCAGGCAGCAGAGCCACTGAACTAAATCCCCAGCCCTATTTATTTTTTTAATTCTTAAATTCTTTTATTGGTACATTTTAGGTATACATTTACATTCATCATTGGGAAGTTGTAACTTTACATGATATATCTTGGTTCTTATTTTTCCCCATTCCTCTGCTCTCCCTTAACCCCTCCACCACTCTCTATTTACAAGACTGTTTCCATTTTTTCATTTTCTCATATTTTTTCTTTTCCCTTCTTTGCTTTCCCCTACCTCTCCCACTTCCTCTACCCCTTTGGACCTTTTACCCTATTTCACATTATCTATTATACATTTTGATCCTTATTTACACTTTCAGTTTCTCACACCAGAGAAATTATTCAGTATTTACACGTGTCCTATTTATTTTACTTGAGTATAGCCTCAATGTGCATCCATTTAGCTATAAATGTCTGTAGTTTCTCATTGTTTATGGCTGAGTAGTACTCCATTTTATTAAAAAATTACATCTTCTTTATCTAGTCTCCAGATGATGGGCACTTGGGCTATTTCTAAGATTTAGCTAGTACAAACTGTGCAGCTATAGACATGGGTGTACATATATCGCTGTGATATGATTATTTTAATTCTTTTGGGAAGATACCCAGCAGAGGATAGCTAGGTTAAATGCAACCCCTAATCCTCATTTTTTGAGGTGTCTCCACATCGATTTTCACAGTGGTTGCACCAGCCTGCACACCCACCAACAATGAAGGATTCTCCTTCATTCATTCTTTCTCCCCACAACCCACCAACATTTGTTATTGGTTGATTTCTTGATAGCAGCCATTCTTTCTGGGGCAAGAGAATTTCAGTCTTCATTCATTCTTTCTCCCCACAACCCACCAACATTTGTTATTGGTTGATTTCTTGATAGCAGCCATTCTTTCTGGGGCAAGGTAGAATTTCAGTGTTGTTTTCATCTGCATCTCTTGAATGACCAGTGATGTTGAACATTTCTCATATGTTTATTTGCTGCTTTTACTTCTTTGAGAAATGTCTGTTCATTTCATTTTTGAGTTGGGTCTTTATTTGGGGGGGTCTGATTTGTTTGAGTTCTTTATATATTCTAGATAGTAGTCCTTTGAGGAACAGCTGATAAAATTTTTTTCTCACATTGTAAGTTGTCTTTCAGCTCTGTTGGTGGTTTCTCTTGAAGTACAGAAGCTTTTTAATAAGATGAGATCCCAGTTGTTGATTCTTTGTGCTATCCCTATGCTACTGAGGTTTTGGTCATAAAGTCTTCCTATGCCAATGTCTTTGAACATTCTACCTAACATCTTCCAGCAAGTTTAGTGTTTTAATATTTAGATCTTTAATCCACTTCAATTTTAATTTAGTGTATGGTGATAGATATGGGTCTAGTTTTAATCTTTGGCAGGCCGAAATCTAGTTTTGCCAACACCATTTATTAAATAAGCTGTCTTTCCTCCAGTGAGGATGGTTGGCTCCTTTGTCAAAGATGAGGTGGTTGAGTATGTTTGCAACTGTTTCCTAATCAATTGCACTGATTCTCAGGTCTCTTTCTTTGCCAGTAGCATACTGTTTTTATCACAGTGGCTTTGTAGTATAGTTTCAAGTTGGGACTGTGATACCCCTGACCTTGTTTTTGTTACCTAGAATTGCTTTTGCTATTCTAGGTCTCTTCTTGTTCAAAATGAATTTTTGGATTATTTTCTCATGGGGGGGTACCAGGGATTGAACTCGGGCCCTTTCACTTACGAGGCAGGTGCTGGAACCACTGAGCTAAATCCCTGACCCTTGGATTGTTTTCTCTAGTTCTGTGAAATATGCAGTTGGAATTTCAATTGGGATTGCACTGAATCTATATAGCAGTTTTGGAAGTATGGCCATTTTCATTATATTGGTTCTTCCTAACCAGGAACAAGGGATACTTTTTCCATTTTCTGATATCCTCTTCAATTTCTTTTTTTCAGAGTGCTATAGTTTTTAGAGTAGAGGGCTTTGATTTTTTTTTTTCCGGTAAATTGATTCCCAGGTATTTCATTTTGGGGGGATGCTATCACAAAAAAGTTGTTTCTCTAATTCCTATCTCGTTGAATTCCTGCTCAGACTTTTGCAACAGAATAACTGGTGCTTGTGCCTCTAGCTTGTAATTTATCCTTAGACCAGCTTAAGCAATCAGCATTTCTGTCAAAAACCTATGAACAGTTCTCTCTCATTCACATCCAAAATTAGCTACTTAGATGTAGCTAACCCAGCTTATAAATGGGGTATGTTTTAAATTAGTTGATATCATAAAATATGGTTTCAAGATTCACTTAAAAGAGACCTGAGAATTCAGGGCCTACCCTCCCATTAAGTATTCAACCAAGCCAAATGTCAGGAGAGGCATGCAATCTGTAATCAGGATGGACCAGTTTACTCACTGAGAAGCTCTGTCTCAGGCTTGCAGGTTCTGGAGACTCCTACTTTAGGTTCAAGGCAAGTGCAGGTGTAGAATGGTTGTAGCAGCCTCAGTGCCCTGGAGCACCACACCAGAACTTCACTCAGCAGAAGTACCACAAATTTTCTACACTGCTGCTGTTTAACTACCTTATTTTCTTACCAAGAAAATATATCTATTCGCTGAGACCCTCCACACCGCTCTCTCAGAAAGTGGGGTTACATTGGTTCCACAGCACTCCTACAGTATCCTGAGTATGCTCCTACTTATAGAATTACACATCTTGTCTCTACTCTTGTGAGAGCTTCCTGAAGGAATGGGGTGGACCAAAAATTCATCTTGGTAAAAGCAATGATAGATCTAGTGCATGGCACACAGTGGTGCTCAAAATGTTGAACTTTTAGTCAAAAGAACCATTTCTGGTAGGAATTGCAGTACAAACAAAAGAAAATCTCACTCTCTCTTGTTCTTAAATTGTAAGTACCAACAATTTGATATGGGAGGGGAAAAAAAAGTCCACTCTTTGCTAAGAAGGTTTTCACAGGTCACCACACTGGCCTGAGTTAGTCAGCAGTAAAGTTAGAAGCAATTAGCCTGACTGAATTCCTAGCACCTAAGAATCTTCCTTCTGAAAGAACCAAGCTCATTATTCCTTCATGGCCTTTTGGATTCTCATCAACCAAAGCATACTTGGCAGCGATCTCTATACACACAGGCAAGTAGACTAACAGTGTGCATACTGCTGATTCACATCCATTGTTTTATTCTTCATTTATGGTATTTGCTAAGTTACAGTCACTACAGAAATATTACAAACAGCATTTTGCTTTTCACTGTTCAGAGTAATTCAATTAATAAAGATACACAGGTTATGCTATTATAGACAGCTAAGTTAGGTAAAAATATTCTAAACAATCAGTCAGGGATAGGGCCTGGACAGAATCAGTACAAAAGATAAAAACATATTACAATTGTGGCCAGAGGCGCATCTCTTAGAAACCAGGCCTCAACATAAAGACAAAATAACCAGGCCTATACACTTCCCCAAGGAATAAGATAAATGGTAACACCAGGCCTAAGAAAGTCTAGATAGACATCAATAACCCTGGTGGGCGACCCAGACCTCCAGATCCATCATTTTCTAGACTAGACAAGGTCTTTGCTCTTTCTGTATACACTTGGTGCGTGATCTGCTTCTCCACTGGATCATTACCTAACCGACTATACTTGTAACCTTATTGGTGTTGTCCCACAACCCTCTGATTTTTCTCTATAAAATCTCCCCTGTGAAGTGGGGTCTTTAGAAACCCATTTGGGTCCCCTCCTCTCAGGAGCTAAAATCTCTCCTCTCGACGAATGTTTCCTACTCTTAACCTCCGCTGTTCCTTAAAATTCATACTTCGATTTTAAGAAACAAACTCGACGTATCTGGCATTTAACAGGTTGGGAGTTATATTGTTTCCCCTGTCATTTAGAGGTCCTATAAAAAGGCTGGACAGTGGTCCCGGGCCTCACCGATGTGCGACAGGCTAAAGATGCCGCTGGATGCGCGGAGAGATTCGGGCTCTGGTCTGAATATGCCAGGTCACGACCCAGCCGGGCCGAGCTAGGGCAGGGAAAGGAGATGCTCGGTAACAGGAAGAGCCCTTCCCCGAGGCCCAGGTAGGGCACAGCAAGGGTGCCCCTCGCATACAAAGCCCCAGGAATC